ATATACTAATAAATAAATCAAGTTACATATAAAAATCTATTATAAACCTCAAACTATTTAACTATTGACTGAAATGTACACTTTATATCAGATTTCCTTATATATAACCTTGTATCATGAATGTTCAATTTTTCACTTCCTCTAAAATTGTTTTAAGCATTATTTAGTTGTATACAAAAATTATACTGCAGCGGGCTTATTCGTCTTTGTTAAATTCGGAGTGTGACAAAAATTAAATCGGAGTGTGACAAAAGAAAAAAGTCTCATACTTGACTAAAACACTAGCAATAATAAAAGTTGGAACTCATGTCGTCGCAAAGATTCTATGTACGAAACAAATCTATGAATAAACAGTAGTAAAAATGCGTTAGTTTGCTACCATGAATTTGGGGTCACATATAATTTTTTAAATCATTAAAACGGAACTGAATTGTGATTGGCAGATTTATTGGTAAATCATTAACCTTTGCGGTATATCTAAAACGTGTAAATATAATTTAACATATATTCACAAACAAAAAAACGTGTAAATCATCTATCCCTAATCGTAATAGTTTAGAATTTAGATTCTGCATAATTAAATTAACGTTTCTGTTAAATTCGGAGGTGATGCATGTGTTTCTCGTTAATTATTCTTCAACTTCATACAAAAATGAACTGGTGATGGACTCATGGTGGCAAAATATGAAGCCACTATGGGACAGTCAACCTTTCTCCACAGCCATTCGTACACCTAAAGCAAACATAATGTTCTTCTCTTTTGTTTTCGCTTGTTAAAGGGGAAAAGGAAAGTAATTCTGAACAAATGTAATTCTGAAAATGTAAACTTTCAGAGAAGAGAACCTTTAAAAAGATTGAAAGATGCTTATTTGACCAGGAAAAAAAAATTAACAAGCTTTTGGATTTTAGTTTTACCATGGATTTTACTTTTACATTGATTTAGGAAAGACTGATAGGGATCCGAGAGCGAAAGAGTTAAAGGAAGGAGCACCGCCCCAGCACAATTATTAGAACTCGATCGCGGTCTATGTATTAATTATTCAATACTTATAATCTGATTTGGCTGTTATATAATATGATCAGGATCAAAGTTCTGTTAAATATTCGAAAGCACCAAAAAACAGAGAACTATGCTGGTTACATTTATTAGTTCATATTTTACCAACTTAATTTTTCGTCAGCTTGCAAGCTTTTTGGGTCGAGAGAGGCGGGTTGGATATCGACCCATCGAGGATCCAGTTTGCGACTAGCATATTCGCAGTTTCGGAGTAATGTATACCATCCCAGCTTATGAAATTTTTGCGGTTTTGGCACGAAGAACTGTAAAGTTCGGTTCCATTGGGAAATATTGTCTTTCCGCATCCCATTCCACGTCCTACCGCCCCAACGCAACAATAATCAAAAGGATCAACAAAACCTGCAGTTAGATTGATTAAACCAAACGATTATGAGATGTGTTACTAAGATTCGGGTAGTTGTGAAGGTTGTTATAATGGGTTTTCAGTTTAGTACTTACCAAGATTCTTTGCTTTGATAATCAAATGGTTCTTAGCTGAGTAGACATCAACATAAGTAAGGAGAGAAGAGGGTAACTCTTTGTTCAGTTCAGAGATTTTCTGCTTGAGTTGTTTGTTGAACTCAATTGCCACATTGTTTAGAGGCTTCAAGCAACCAAACTGATCTCGAGGTGTGGCCGGAAATGATTTCAGAAGATAGGGTAAGCAGCCCGTTGGCCCGGTGTTATGAATTGAGAAGAATCTTGCTCCTTCTTTGTACAGCAACTAAGGAAATACATACCAAATAGTGCAAGGTATGATGTAACTAATAATTTTAGATGCATTTTTATTAGATAATAATGAAAAATGTAAATTCGAAAAGAAATAATCTATTTTATCAGTTTCAAATTATAAGAAATTGATAATTATAGAAAATGATGTATTTATAATTTTAACTTTTTATTTTTAATATGTGTGAAAGTTTCAAGGGAGTATTGAACTTAATAGTAGAACCGGTATATTAAGTTTTATTTGATTTCAAATAAAAGCCATACCAATCATTTAGCTACTTACTTTTATAGCAGTAGTGAAGCTTTCTATGATTGCCGGTATAGTTGCTTTGAGTTGTTCCTCTGTCATGTTTTGGAACCCGACCGCGAGATCATTCTGACCGATATCAAAAGTATAAAGAGCCTTTGAGAATTCTTTAGGCCGTGCAAGAACTCCTTTGCAGAATGGAGTTTTTCCTGTTTTAAAATTAGGATATCATTTTCAATTCTGGTTTTGGTAATTGGAATGTTTAACTGGTTAAACGTACCATTGGTTTGGTTGTAGAGAGACAATGTACGAGTCTTGAAGTGAATAAACTGGGATACTTGAGTTCCAAGATGGAATTGACTAAAACAAGCAACGGTCGGGCGGATGCAAGAGCCGCCAGTCGCAAAATTAGCCCCATGCCGATAATTAGCTCCAACCGAATCCAAGTACGGTGTTAGATACGGCAACGTCAGATTCTCGGCTGCAAAAATTCATTACAAAAACTGTTTATATACTATACTAAACTATATAAATGTTACAAACTTTTGGTCTATTTAGATCATTTCAAATATATTACTCAATTTTTCTTTAAAATTAGAGTACTTATGCAATGTAATGACGTAGTATATTTTGGAGTGAAAAATAAATTATTGAATAAAAAAATGAATACTGCATTTTTAGAGTTTGTGTTTAAAAGGGCTGCATTTTTAGAGTTTCCATTTTATTCGATTATAAACTAGAAAATGAAATAAAATTAGAGAAAATTTTACTCTGAACTTTATTAGATTGATATGTTGATAGACATAAAATATTGAATCAAGAAAAAAAATGATGGAAAACTGAAAAATTCAAAATTTCAAAGACACTTACTAATGAAGTCTATAATGAGACGACCATCAGAATGTCTTCCTGCAGATCTTCCAAAGAAGGCAACTCCATTTGGTGGAGGAACTTCTCCAATTGCCGCTGAGATAGCTCCAGTATCTGAATTTGAATCTCCAAAGTTATAAACAGCTGGAAAATTGCAACTCTTGTGAGAGTTTATACGGGATGCGGTCGAGGATATCTCAATAAGCCCGAAAAGGAAAAATATGATGAAAAGAGTAAGTTTAGAAGTCTCCATGGTGTTTATAGATGCAAAAAGCTTGAATGTGAAGCTTTTCACCTATATACTAATCATGAAGTCGTCGGCTCATGTTGGTTGGCATGTTTAGTAGTATATTTTTAAGGAGAAATTAAAAGGTCCACCATCCTGAAAGATATTATTATAAGTTCAGCAACTATGAGATAAATATCTATAAATTTAATTGTACGAGCAAGTTGATCTAGGATGCATGTGCAGGTATTTTTAACGACTGTTTAAACTAATTTTTAATTTGGTCATCTTAAATCCTGGTTGATCACCTGGGTAACCATAATTATAGTCCAACGTCTTCTTCTTTATATTTGAAAGACTATATGCCGAACATGTGAAAATTCATGAGTTTAAAAGTCAAGAACTTTGCCTAAATCCATTACGTTTCCCACTTATTTGAATTTGATTCTAATATCATTTTGTAACATCTAAGCAGCATATTCTCATTCCCATTCGGCCCATGCATCAGCTCTTACTCAATATAGGCTGATTATAACTACAAAAAAAAAAAGAATGTCCACAAACAACTTCAAAAAGAATTTGCAAGATTTTGTATAGTAACAACAGAACCGATCCTTCAAGAAAAAAATAATCTGACTGAATTGATAACTAATAATAATCCTTTAATTTCTGTTTTTTTTTTCTTTTAGTCGGTTGAGTTTGTTAATCTTTATTTTAGGGTATTGATTTAAACAGAAAAACAATCGACAAGGTAGTGTATTGAAAGTAACTTGGATAGCAATATCTATATTTGTAGAACAAAATTGTGAAATTTATATTTAATGTAAACTAGATTTTGACCCGCGCGGTTGCGCGGGTGTTTGTTTTCGTTTATAGTTAATTATATAAACATTTTGTTTTGACTTGTAAATTGATATATATTATAGTAATCATATATTTACAATATGTATAGTAAATGTTTTTCAAACATAATAATATTATATAATACGTGTTTTAATCAAATAGATTGTTTCAAATTTTCTATATTATACATTTTTTTTCAAACATGTGTTTGTTTCTTTTTCTATATTTTATTGTTTGTTAGATTAGTATTTCTTTTTTAGATAAAGTAATATAAATAGAACTTGATTAAATATTAGTATAATTTAATTTGCAGAGATAATATAAATTTCGAAGAAATTTTTGCTAAAAACTAAACTTATAGCTTCATAAATTAATATTATAAAGAATTTTATTAAAAAGGAAAATTTTAAACAATTTCTTTTCTTTTTTAAAAACAATATAATTTTAAAAATTTACATCGAAATAAATATTCTATATTACGAATCTGTGATTTTTGTTAATATATTGTGGATGCATTTAACTATTATTGACATATTTCCTTATAAATAATAGAAGATTTCTAAACTTATATCTATTGACATATTTTGCATGACTAAGTTGGAAGGTGTGGGATAATTTACCAAAACCAATTGTTAAGCGTATCTTTGTTATTATAGATATGATTTTCATAAGATATAATAATGATAAGATTATTAGAGAGTTAATGTAACATGACTTTCTAGTAATAGTCCATTTTTTAAAAAATTACACATGAAGTCAGGTCATGACTTCTGTTTTAATATATAAATATAAGATACTTGAAGAACAAAACAATAGAAAGGACTTGAAAAGCAAGTAAAGTTAGTGTTTATCTTATGTAAATATTTACATATATGTATTTAAGAAAGTTTACATTATGTAAATAGTAGTGTTTTATCTTATATTCTCGTCAAACACTACGCCGCTCTTCCCCTACCGTCTCCTTCAGCACTTGATTCTTCGAAGCTCAAGCAGAAGTATCTGATAGACAAATTTTTCCCGTCTTGATAATGGGAAACTCTCAGACGAAGAAACCGCCTCCGGTGGTACTTGTACCACCTCTCTTTGATTACCCTCCTCTCTCAGCTCGTAACAGGTATCGTCTTATATCGTATTTGAGAACGTACATATACATGTTCAGCTTTAGATTAAATTTTGAGGTGATACATGCAGGATGTCGGAATCATCATACAATGTGCTGTTTGGGAAGCTTGCATTGAAATGTCTCTTTGAGGATTACTTTGAAGTTAAAGACGCAGATAACTTTTCTGCAAAGTTCATGTTGAAGCCTACTGATGACCCTCATGTGGACTTGGTTGCATCTGTATCCTTTAAATATCTCTTTGTCTTTTATAGCACTCTATGATATCATGCATGCATAACTAGGGATGGTGGAAATTTAAAATTTCCTTAAATAGTAAAAGGTTTCATCCGCTCTAGATGGTAAAGTAGAAGGAGATGCATCGTTTCGGTGGCAAAGGTGATATATATGGCATATGGATTTTAACTTTTTTTTGTAATAAATAGAACAATGCTCAACATTTTTTTATGAATTTTTGTGCAGTGATGTTGATGATCCTCATACTTTTGTAGACCTCTCTGTGTCGACCACCAATCCGTAAACACCGTGCTACATTATCATATATTCTTGGAGCTCGTCTTCATTATAGTAGTTTAACGTTTTGATATAACTCTCTTTTATTTTTGTCATCACTAAGGCTTCTACTGTTAAGGTCGTCTGCTTACTTTCCTAAGTATGGGGTTGGGGCATTTGTAGTCTCCCCTTTGATTTCAAAAAAGAAGTAAGTTTCATTTAGGAGAAGAGGCCTATCATGTTTCTTGTATTTTATGTTTTTTAAGAAGATGAAAATATGTTGTTTCTGTAGTGACAAGTTATCTGACGAACATGGAATCATGGGGTTGAGATATGGCTCAACGAATTTGTCTCTCGGAGCTAGTTTCTCTCCTTTTAGTAGTAAGCACATTAACATTTTAATTTTTTTTTTCTCTACAACCACCAGTTTACTATTTTCGTAGACAATACTGACCCTTTAAATCCACATTCCAGCAAAGGAAGAATGGCCAAAGAATGCATGGCTTGTAAGAAAGATGGGAAGGTTTACACTAGGAATGCAATATGAGCCGTTAGGTGGTACAATGCTTAATAGATTTCATTTGTTGCATTATGTTATTAAAAGGTATCAACATTATTAATGTGATCGTGTTAGATAAAAACAAAGACACCGCAAAATACAAAGATCTAAGGAACTGGAGTTGTGCGGCTAGCTATGGAATAGGTTCAAGAAGCCCCTTAAGCCCTTCGTTCAACGTTGGCCTTGAATTAGCGAGGAACTCTCAGGTCATATATACTTTTATAGTCCAGATGAACATGATTGTTATGCACATATCTTAAGCCCAAACACTTATCATATTTTTATTCAATGAGATATGAGTTTTTTGTTTTGTATTTTTTCTGTTGATTAATGCATTCTTATTCTTGATAATATTGTTATCCTTGTTGTACATGCAGTTTATTGTTTCGTTCTACCAACATTTAGTGGTCCAAAGGCAGGTACGACTCTTGTGCTGCATCTATTACCAAGTTTACCGATATATAAAATTTAGCACACCTTGTGGGTCAACACTTAAATGGACTTGGAACAGGTGAAAAATCCTTTTGAAGAAGACGAAGTTGTGGGAATCACAAACTACATTGACTTAGGTTTTGAGCTACAAACAAGGTAGTGAACATCTTTGAGAAGAAAATATTGTAGCTAATGTTTTCTATATGGTAACATAGCTTTAATGTTTGTCTTATATTAAAGGGTTGATGATTCCAACACATCAAACACTCTCTCGGATTCTTCTCTGCAGATGGCTGCGTCTTGGCAGGCTAATAAGAACTTCTTGCTGAAGGTAAATCATATACATTTTTTATGATCGAGAAAGGTTGATAATAAAACTCACAATCTAATATTTTGAAGGGTAAAGTCGGAGCTCTAAGCTCAACATTCACATTAGCATTCAAGTCGTGGTGGAAACCGTCTTTCACATTCAATATTTCAGGTATGTCCTCCATAAGCAATCTTCCATTAGCACTTAGACTATAAGATATCTGTTACATGAAATATGTTGAGCTTATTTTTGACGCAGCGAATAATAATCGTCGGACTGGAAGAACAGCATTTGGGTTCGGTCTCCGAGTTGATAACTTAAGAGAAGCCAGGTCAGTGCAGTCAGCCATCCTTTTTTTTTTGTATTCACATTTTAATTTTTGTTTATTGCTAATTATAAAAGTCTCTTGACATTGCAGTTACCAAAGAGCTGATCCAAACTTTGTAATGCTGACACCAAACAAAGAACATCTCGCTGATGGGAATGTGTGGAAAATGGAGAAGAGACCAATGCTTCAATCCGATTTAGACGCAGAGAATTTTAGTGAGCTCCCAAAAGAACTTAGACCTCCCCAGATGATTCTCTAAACTACAGAGTCTCAGTTTTTGTAAATCCTGTCATATTTCGATGATATCTATGACAAACCATAGCGTTCAACATTGGTGATTCTCTTCCTTTACGAACCAAGAAAGAAAAAGAAATATTTAAGATTTTTTATATATCTCATTAATATTATGTGTTTTACATTATGCAAGTATGTATTATCAAACGAGCTAGCGATGTTTGTTAATCTCTTAAATAAGAATGATGATCTTCAGATTTTAGAATAGCTGTATGAAACACTAGTCTTTTCCGCAAAATTTTCTAGAAGTTATATATAGAGGCATAGCTGTATGAAACACTAGTCTTTTCCGTAATGCTCTCATATAAGATCAACTATTTGCAAACCGAAGCTAAAATTATATATTTTAAAGAAGTAAAATTCAAAGAATCATAAATTGATATGTAATTACAAATTGATATGTAATTCCTTCATCTAAATGTAAATAAAATATAAAACTTCATATTTAAAGTTTTGAATAGAGAAACTCAAAATATGAAGTTTTATTATTTAAAATTGCAAATTTGAAGTGTTGAAATTCTTTTTAGAGAGCAAAAAATTTCACATCTATCTAGTTATCTTATACTATTATTTAAGAAGTAAATTTGTTTAGTTGTCATATTCTCCATAAGTTTAGGTAATTTTGTTTATTTATCATATTTTTAATATTTATATATATTTTATGTATAAATAAAACGAATTTATATGAATATATCATAATTTTAGAAAATAAGATAATTCTTGGGAATTCTGTTGTTATCTTGAAATATATTTGTATATATAAAAATTAAATTTTAAATTAAGATATAAACACTATTATATTTATCTAAAATGAATTTTTATATTAATAATTTAATATTTAAATATAACTAAAATGAATTTATATTAATAATTTAATATTATTGTAAAATAAGATAATCATTATGTTATTTTTAAAATATATTTTCCGATTATAAAACTTAAAATTACACTATAAAAATTATATTATTAATAATTAAATATAAATCATAATTAAATATAAATCATCAAAACAATTATTTGAAAAGTAAATTTGTTGATTTGTCTCCATGATCCTAGGTAATTTTAATCATTTATCAGAATTTCTATAATTTTGTTTATTATTGATTATATAATTAAAACTAATTTATATTAATAATATGATATTTTATAAAATAAGGTAATTCTAATGTTTTATGATGTTATCTGAAAAAATTATTTTTCTATTATAAATTTAAAATTAACATCTAAAAAAACTATAATATTATTTAAGAAGTGAATTTGATGTTTGCTGATTTGTCATATATTCCATGATTTAGGTAATTTTGATAATTTATCAATTTATGTATTTTATATATAATTTATTATATATTTAAAATAAATTTATATTAGTAGTATAATATTCTTAGTAAATAAGATAGTTCTTATGTATTAAGTTGTTGTCTTGAAAATATATTTTTTTATTAGAAATTTAAAATTAAGATATAAAAAGTTGTGGTTATTCTATTATTGAAATAAATTTACACTAATAAGATTATACTTTTAGAGAATATGGTAATTCTTATGTATTATGTTGTTATCCTGAAAATATATTTTTATATTATACAATTTAAAAGTAAAATAGAAAAATTATCTATTATTAATTAAATATAAATCATCACTCAAGAAAAAATATTTAAGAAGTGAATTTGATGATTCATTAAGTTCTCAATGATTTGGGGTAATTTTAATTATATGTCAAAATTTCTATAATCTTATATAATTATTATATAGTTAAAAAAATTTATCATATTATATTTTCAGAAAATAAATAACTTATGCATTATATTGTTATCTTGAAAATATGGTTTTCTAATATAAAAGTTAAAATTAAGATATAAATATTATAAATAAATATAAAGAAAAAATAGTTATAGAAATATATTATTTTAAATATTTCCGATGTTTGAGTTTTGTCATTGATAATTATTTGATGTTTGATTTTTACTTTTTGAAAACATAAATAATAACTTACTCTGCTGATTTTTAAATTAATAAAACATCGACTAATAAATATTCATAAGAGAATTGTGCCCCCAAGTGCGGACAAAATACCTAGTTTGAAATTATATAGTATATTTTAAAGATGTTGAGTGGGTCTCTTTAAAACAACAAGATATTTATAACTAACTATATATTTATTTTTTATTTTGTTTTTAATCTCTAAACCCCTAATGAATTTACGTGTGGCATAGAAGCTCTTAAAAAAAATTTGTCGGTCTCCCGACATCGAAATATCTCTCAGCATTTTGGATTTTTTCTCTTCATTTTGCAATTTTTCTATTTTATTAATGTGCAGAAATGGGTTGAGGAACGACCAATGCTACTGTTCGAAATTTCAAATCCGGCCACAAAAAGAGGAGTTAATCTCATTGCTCAAAACCTCATGGCTTAAACCGTTTTCAATCTTTGTTTCTGCTTCTCATCCGATATAAATTCAAGATTTATATGTTGAGAGAATATGTGCTCAAGGTACAATTTGTCGTTTGCAATCATAGAGACTTTTTTGGTAAATTATCCTCCTATTTTTTCCAATCCCCCTAATATCATTTCTCCCCAAAATATAAAGAGACAAAGAAGTTGACTTTTGTGATCACAAAGTGGATTCAATGATGTCAGTTAGACAAAGCATGCATGAGTTTGGTTTCTCCATGGACTTTCGGAAGCTACTCAGTAGAAATTGCAAAAGGTAATAACATTGTAGATAGATTCTTAGCCTTTCATATCTACGCTAGATCTCTAATAATGATGTAATCCATCCAGTTAGGAATTATAGTTACAGAATGAAGTAGAGTGGATACTCTATGGCAGGCCTAGTCTAAGAGACAGTGACTTTATCAAGAAACTATCATTCGTTCATTCATTCGCAGTCAGTAGATAACATTTACGTAGCCCAGTTACATGGCTACGGAATGGTTGTATTTAATTTACATGATGTAGATGACCCTAGCTAGTCTAAACTTTGCACTTAGTAGATGGGGCATTTACGTAAACACGGTCCAATTATCATTCATACTCTGGAAGAAAAGACAAATAATATACTTGTCGTTGTATTATTTATTATGTCCATTTATATATAATTATTGTCGTCATTTACATTCGTGTTTTATATCTACTTTCTTCCTCAACAAACATACATCAAATGCAAACTTAATTAATAATAGAAAAAAACACCCAACTTGCAATGTCTTTTAACAATAGTTTCACGTTTTTGTTCTGACATCTATAGTTTCACGTTTAGTAATACATCTGCATAAAATCCTGAACCCAAATTATAAAATATACAACATCGTATGGACACGATGAAACTTTAGTTCATCAAACTGTGTACAAAACGAGAAAAATATAATAATTTGAAGATATAATTTAAAACTGATAAACTAATACTTTATTAGATAACGAATACATGAACTCGCATCGTTTTATGGAAATAAAATGATTTTCTAAAGATAATAAACAATCAAATTAAATAACACAAAACAACGAAAACAAAACTCTACTTGTTGTTATGGATAGGGCTGGGCATTTTATCCGTTATATTTGATTCGATTCGTTATTCGTTTCGATTCGATCCGAAAATTCCGGATATCCGGAAACTTTCGAATCAAAGCAAATACTAAAATTCAATATCCGTTAAAATCGAAGCAAATCACAAATATTAAAATTTTGGGAAGCGGATATCCGATCCGATCCGGAAATATATAAATATATGTATATCTTGATTATATTTAAAATATTAAATGTATAAAATTATATAATTATTATTCTAGCACATGATTTAAACAATTCTATTCACNTCGAAGCAAATCACAAATATTAAAATTTTGGGAAGCGGATATCCGATCCGATCCGGAAATATATAAATATATGTATATCTTGATTATATTTAAAATATTAAATGTATAAAATTATATAATTATTATTCTAGCACATGATTTAAACAATTCTATTCACATTATTACTTATATAAAAGTATTACATAAAAGAAAGAAAAAACTTATGACAATTATATTTTCTTTTTCTTAAATTTTGTGTTATTATAATTGTAACTTAAACTTAAAAAAATTACAAATTATGTAAATTCACTAGTTTTTAATTTTTAATTTTTATATAATGCAAACAAATATTTTTGCAAAACAAATTTGTATCAAAATCTTAAGATTATTTGTATTAATCAAAATGGATGAGATATCCGTAAATATTCGTAAATATTCGCAAATATCTATTTATTTTCCGGATATCCGTTTTTCCGGATATCCGTATTTTTTTGAAGCAAAGCAAATACTAAAACTAGATATCCGTAACATTCGAAGCAAATCACAAATATCTTGAAAAACCCGGATATCCGATCCGTGCCCACCCCTAGTTATGGATCAGATCATCAGAAGGGAGGAAAAGCTTTGCCGTGTCGGTGAATGTTTGAGAAAAGTCCGACAAGTTCTTGCTTGTACGGTAGATAAGACTTTCTCTTGTCTTCTTCTTTCATTGCTTTGTTCCTCAAGTAAAACTTCTCATGTGCTGACACTTTCTCCTTCTCTTTCTTCTTTGTCTTCACTGCCTCCTTATTCTTCGGACAAGGAGATGAAGATGAAGATTCGTCTTTGTTGTTAACAGGGCTCGAACTCAAGAACTCTAGTGTCTCCTTCCCGTCGCTACGACTTCGTTTCAGTAGATTTCTAAGTCTCCATCGTTTCCTCGACCATGTCGACGTTGAAGAAGATCCTGTCGATTTACTCTTTCTACAAGGAGACATCTCCACCGGTGATCTCGCCGGCGTCCATGGACAGTATATCTCGCTAGGGATCGTGTCTAACTCATCTTCTTCTTCCTCATAATCAGAAGATGAATACGTCTGCTGAGGTGACGAGTGTTCTTTCTCGCGGAGGAAGAGATCTTTCAACGGAGTTACAACCGTTTCCGGCGAAACATCTTCATGTTTCTGATCGAACACCGGGAATAATAAAGAAGACGGCTGCTCGTGAACCGTTTGAAGAGTCGCAAACTCGAATGAGTCGTCTCCTTTCTCTTTGTAATGGTCGCCACCGACTCGTTCGGCGATCTTGACGAGGTTATCGCCGGAGTAAGTGCTGAAGCTAGGTGAAAAAGAAGCCGTGGAAGCAGTATAGTTACCATCGTCTATCTTCTCCATGTTCTTTAGAAGCTATTCTTAGTCTCTCTTGTGTGTGTGAATGATCACTTTCTTGCTTCTTGGCGTTTTGGTTTGTCATTTTCTGTAAAGAGTCGTATGAAGTTATTTATATAGGAGAAGCCGTTTATTTACATCGAAATGGCGATTTGAGTATTTTTTTTATTAGAGAAGCTTAATGTGTCATTTGCATTAAACAAAGTAACGTGGACTCTCTAGAAGCGTATCCGTTATTTGATCCGGAAGTTCTTGGAGTACATTTTTAAATACTTTAATAATTAAAAGATATTTCCGCTAATAAACTATAGTTAATTGGTACCCACGTAAAAGGATATATATATTTTGAATAGTACTAGCCAAAAAGGAATAAATACAAATTATTGCACAATTTAGTTTTTGGACCCATTGCAAAACTACTCCTTTAAATATATGGACTGGATATTTTATAAACTACAAACTGTATCGCTAAGATAGAATGTTTCAATCAACATTTGTGTTTTGATTGTGACTGAAAGTTTTATTCTGTTGTTTAAAATGGTAATTTGTTTCTTGTCATCTAATCATTTTGTAAATGATGATCAATCATTCGAATTTAGCTATCATACTCGAGATTAACATATACTCTTTTCTCTCAGTAACATTCTAAAGTATTTAATAAATTCTACGTCAATTGATTCATAAAATTTGTATACACTAAATTAACCTTTTTGATTAGTAGATTAATTGACGTAAAATACAATGAACGTGTGTCATTACGACAAATGTTGTACGTAGTTTTGGCAGAACTGGTTAAATTGGTTAATTCTAAATTATATGAGAAATATAATCTCATTTTTCATTGAAAAATGTAGTTTTACCGACAGAGCTCGGAAAAGGTTACATAGCATTTATTCACATAAAATTTTCAACCATTTGAAATTGTATATTTATATCATGTGTTCATGATACACATGGCAAGTATATAAAACTTAGTTCAAGCTGGCACTCTAATTACTTAAATTGCCATGTTTGTTATTAGTATTTTATACCTGTTAGTTATTGTTTTATTTATACCTGTTAGTTATTGTTTTATTATGTGCTGTATGTGTGTAGTGTGTATGAAAAGTTTTAGTTGTAGTGCAAGTAGCCCATTATCAGGAAATGCATAGGTAATTGCTGACAAAGCAAGGAGAATCATAGATCATGATTCATGAATCATTGCTGCTGAGTTGCTCAAATTATATTTTTTCTTCTTCTTGTAATCTTATTTAGCTTCTAGAAAACGAACGTTCAAAGTTTTGTGTTGATGTTATAATTTATTGACTGGAAATAAATAATTGGAAATACGATTCACATCACATGGGCACATATACGTAGATGTAGAATATACGTCTAATACTTCTAGATGTCGTTGTCAATTTTCTTGACAAAGTCTTATGATCGTTACAGAATCAAATCAAATGTTTACATTAGGGCTGGGCATTTTATCCGTTATATTTGATTCGATCCGTTATTCGTTTCGATTCGATCTGAAAATTCCGGATATCCGTAAACTTTCGAATCAAAGCAAATACTAAAATTCAATATCCGTTAAAATCGAAGCAAATCACAAATATTAAAATTTTGGAAAGCGGATATCCGATCCGATCCGTAAATATATAAATATATGTATATTTTGATTATATTTAAAATTTTAATTGTATAAAATTATATAATTATTATTTTAGCACNATATCCGTAAACTTTCGAATCAAAGCAAATACTAAAATTCAATATCCGTTAAAATCGAAGCAAATCACAAATATTAAAATTTTGGAAAGCGGATATCCGATCCGATCCGTAAATATATAAATATATGTATATTTTGATTATATTTAAAATTTTAATTGTATAAAATTATATAATTATTATTTTAGCACATGATTTTGAAAAATTTTATTCAAATTATTACTTATATAAAAGTATTACATAAAAAGAGATAAAATATTTTTGACAATTATATTTTTTTCTTAAATTTTGTGTTATTATAATTGTAACTTAAACTTTAAAAAATTACAAAATCTATAAATTCACTAGTTCTTTTAAGTTTTATTTTATATATCATGCAAAAAATATTTTTGCAAAGAAAATTTGTATCAAAATCTTAAGATTATTTGTACTAATTAAAATGGATGAGATATCCGTAAATATTCGTAAATATCCGCAAATATCTATTTATTTTCCGGATATCCGTTTTTCCGGATATCCGTATTTTTTCGAAGCAAAGCAAATACCAAAATTAAATATCCGTAACACTCGAAGCAAATCACAAATACCTTAAAAACCCCGGATATCCGATCCGTGCCCACCCCTAGTTTACATTACTTCGTCTGCCACCGTTAGACCAAATTGTCACACTATGCGCTTAAATGGTTTCTTTTTTTTGAACTGACGCTTAAATGTTACTTCCTCCTTTTCATATTAAGCGTCGTTGTAAATAATTTTTTGTATTATAAAATAAATGTCATTTTTTGATTTTTAATGCAAAATTTATTAATTTAATTATGTAATTTATTTTTCTATTGGTTAAAATATGGTTAGCTGTATGGGTAACTGTGTTTTTATATCGGAAATATGTAAAATTAATTATTTCCTTAATCTGTGTGTACAGCTGTAGAGTGATGATACTTATAATGAAACAGAGGGAGTATAAACTTTATACTATTATCCTAATTGTTAGATATATCAAATATTTAATTTCACTAGATATATCAAATGCTAATTGTCAGATATATTAACTGCTAAAAATTTCATGTTTTTCTGTTTAAGGTTACAAAATATATTTATTAATTAGGTGTTTTGTTCGTACATGCGGGCATAATTTTCGTATAATTTATTGTTAGTCTATATTTTATTAATTCAAACCAATATAATAATTTATGTTTTAAAATTAATTATAAATGACAACACTCACATAACAAAATATTTTAAAAATATATTTTTACAAATGTGTTGCTTTAATTTATTTTAATTATAAAATTTTCTATCTTATTTTTTATTTCTATAATAAAAATATATTTTCAAGATAACAATATGATACATAAGAAGTATCTTATTTTCTCAAAATATAATTTTAATAGAAATTTGTTTTTATTTTATAATAAATTTTTTATGAAATTATTAAAAATATGATAAATAATCAAAATGATATAAATCATGGAGATATTACAAATCAGATAATTCACTTAAATTTTCTAGTAGAAAATATATGTTCAAGATAACAATGTAATACATAAGAATTATCTTATTTTTTTAAATCTAGTATTATTAGTATACATTCACTTTATTATTTAGTAAATTATATATGAAATTATTAAAATATGATAAAGAAGCAAAATATTAAACCATGGAGAAGTTGATAAATCAGCATTGTTTTCTTTATATTTAACTATTAATATTTTAACTTAATTTTTAATTTCTATGATAAAAATATATATATTTCAAAGATAACAATATAATACATAAGAATTATCTTATTTTCTAAAAGTATAATATTATTAATACAATTTCCTTTTATCATATGATAATTATTCATGAAATTATTAAAAATATAACAAATAAGCAAAATTACAAAAATCATGGAGAAATTACAAATCAATCAGTAAATTCACTTGAATTTTATAACAGAAAAATATATTTTAAGATAAAAATTTAATACAAAATAATTAACATCTTTTCTAAAATATAATATTATTAATAGAAATTTGATTTTATTAAATAATAAATTGTATATGAAATTATTTAAATAAGGTAAATAAACAAATTTACCTAAAAACAAGGATAATAAATTGTATATGAAATTATTTAAATAAGGTAAATAAACAAATTTACCTAAATCAAAGAGAAATTGACAATTAAGCGAATTTATTTCGTATATAATATTAAAAATAAAAATATAATAAATAAGCAAAATTACAAAAATCATGGAGAAGTTACAAATCAATCAGTAAATTCACTTGAATTTAATAATAGAAAAATATATTTTAAGATAACAATTTAAAACAAAATAATTAACGTAATTTCTAAAATAAAATATTATTAATATAATTTTTATTAAATAATAAATTATATATAAAATTATTTAAATAAAGTAAATAAACAAATTTACATAAAATCAAGAAGAAGTTAACAACTAAGCAAAATTACTTCTTTTATAATAGTATAGATGAGAAAGTTTGATATACGTTCAACATTTTCATTTTCAACTAAGCAACCGTGCGGGTGTTTGTTTTCGTTTATAGTTAGTTATATAAACATTTGTTTTCACTTGTAAATTGATATATATTATAGTAATCACATATTTACGATATACATAGTAAATGTTTTTCAAACATAATAATATTATAAAATACGTGTTTTAATCAAATAGATTGTTTCAAAATTTTCTATATTATATATGTTTTTCAAACATGTGTTTGTTTCTTCTTCTATGTTTTATTGTTTGTTAGATTAGTATTTCATTTTTAGATAAAGTAATATAAATAGAGCTTGATTAAATATTAGTATATTTTAATTTGCAAATATAATATAAACTTCGAAGAAATTTTTGCTAAAAACCAAAATTATAGCTTCATAAATTAATATTGTAAAGAATTTTATTAAAAAGGAATTTTTAAAACAATTTCTTTTTTTTAAACAATATAATTTTAAAAATTTACATCGAAATAAATTTATCTAGTATATAGTTTGTAAATTTTCTTAGGGTATATAAATATTCTATATTACGAAACTGTGATTTTTGTTAATATATTGTGAATGCATTTAACTATTATTGACATATTTTCTTATAAATAATAAAATATTTTTAAATTTATATCTATTAATATATTTTGCGTGAATAAATTGAAAGGTTTGGGCTAATTTACCAAAACTAAATTGTTAAGCGTATATCTATACTATTAAAGCTGAAGTACAAAAATAAAGTGTTTGGAAACATGAATAAGAAAATTTTAAAAGTTTGATTGGAAACATGGATAGCAAACAAATTTAATAGGCTTATTTATTATACTAAAGATTATTGCGGCCCAAGGTACCATTATTATTGTTTTTGGATTTTCTATCATTGATATTACTTTATTTCTACAAATTATTTATACATATATGTATTCATGTTTTAAATGTAGTTAGAATAAATCAAGAATAATATATATTTTATTTATATAATTTATATTGACTATTCTTATAAGTTTTTAAC